CAATTGGATATCACGAAATTGGGGAGAAAAAGGGGTAAAAAAAAATTAAAAGAATAAAAAGAATAGCCTTACTGAAGAGCTCAGTGACTTTCAACGTGGCTCCGTCATAGGATGCCACCTTTCCAATAAGTCAGTTTGTAACATTTCTGCCCTGCTAGAGCTGCCCCGGTCAACTGTAAGTGCTGTTATTGTGAAGTGGAAATGGCTAGGAGCAACAACGGCTCAGCTGTGAAGTGGTAGAACGACACCGCCGAGTGCTGAAGCGCGTAGCGCGTAAGAATCGTCTGTCCTCGGTTGCAACACTCCCTATTGAGTTCACAAGCCTAAGATCACCATGCGCAATGCCAAGTGTCGGCTAGAGTGGTGTAAAGCTCGCCACTATTGGACTCTGGAGCAGTGGAAATGCGTTCTCTGGAGTGATGAATCACGCTTTATCGTCTGGCAGTCCGACGGACGAATCTGGGTTTGGCGGATGCCAGGAGAATGCTACCTGCCCGAATGCATAGTGCCAACTGTAAAGATTGGTGGAGGAGGAATAATGTTCTGGGGCTGTTTTTCATGGTTTGGGCTAGACCCCTTAGTTCCAGTGAAGGGAAATCTTAACGCTACCGCATACAATGATATTCTAGACGATTCTGTGCTTCCAACTTTCCTGTTTCAGCATGACAATGCCTCTGTGCACAAAGCGAGGTCCATACAGAAATAGTTTGTCGAGATCGGTGTGGAAGGCCTGCACAGAGCCCTGACCTCAACCCCATCGAACACCTTTGGGATGAATTGGAAGGCCGACTGCGAGCCAGGTCTAAACGCCCAACATCAGTGCCCGACTTCACTAATGCTCTTGTGGCTGAATGGAAGCAAGCCCCCGCAGCAATGTTCCAACATCTAGTGGAAAGCCTTCCCAGAAGAGTGGAGGCTATTATAGCAGCAAAGGGGGGACCAACTCCATATTAATGCCCATGATTTTGGAATGAGATGTTTGACGAGCAGGAGTCCACATACTTTTGGTAATGTAGTGTATTTCACGGTGGCAAGGTATATGAACTAACAGGTTATAGAGCAAAAAACACTATTATCACAACACATACAGTGGGGGAAAAAAGTATTTAGTCAGACACCAATTGTGCAAGTTCTCCCACTTAAAAAGATGAGAGAGGCCTGTAATTTGACAGACAAAAGGAGAAAAAAAAATCCAGAAAATCACATTGTAGGATTTTTAATGAATTTATTTGCAAATTATGGTGGAAAATAAGTATTTGGTCAATAACAAAAGTTTCTCAATACTTTGTTATATACCCTTTGTTGGCAATGACACAGGTCAAACGTTTTCTGTAAGTCTTCACAAGGTTTTCACACACTGTTGCTGGTATTTTGGCCCATTCCTCCATGCAGATCTCCTCTAGAGCAGTGATGTTTTGGGGCTGTCGCTGGGCAACACAGACTTTCAACTCCCTCCAAAGATTTTCTATGGGGTTGAGATCTGGAGACTGGCTAGGCCACTCCAGGACCTTGAAATGCTTCTTATGAAGCCACTCCTTCGTTGCCCGGGCGGTGTGTTTGGGATCATTATCATGCTGAAAGACCCAGCCACGTTTCATCTTCAATGCCCTTGCTGATGGAAGGAGGTTTTCACTCAAAATCTCACAATACATGGCCCCATTCATTCTTTCCTTTACAAGGATCAGTCGTCCTGGTCCCTTTGCAGAAAAACAGCCCCAAAGCATGATGTTTCCACCCCCATGCTTCACAGTAGGTATGGTGTTCTTTGGATGCAACTCAGCATTCTTTGTCCTCCAAACACGACGAGTTGAGTTTTTACCAAAAAGTTCTATTTTGGTTTCATCTGACCATATGACATTCTCCCAATCCTCTTCTGGATCATCCAAATGCACTCTAGCAAACTTCAGACGGGCCTGGACATGTACTGGCTTAAGCAGGGGGACACGTCTGGCACTGCAGGATTTGAGTCCCTGGCGGCGTAGTGTGTTACTGATGGTAGGCTTTGTTACTTTGGTCCCAGCTCTCTGCAGGTCATTCACTAGGTCCCCCCGTGTGGTTCTGGGATTTTTGCTCACCGTTCTTGTGATCATTTTGACCCCACGGGGTGAGATCTTGCGTGGAGCCCCAGATCAAATCAAATCAAATCAAATGTTATTGGTCACATGCGCCGAATACAACAGGTGCAGACATTACAGTGAAATGCTTACTTACAGCCCTTAACCAACAGTGCATTTATTTTAAACAAAAAAAAAGTGTTGTAAAATAAAGTGACAGTAGGGAGGCTATATATACAGGGGGGTACCGTTGCAGAGTCAATGTGCGGGGGCACCGGCTAGTTGAGGTAGTTGAGGTAATATGTACATGTGGGTAGAGTTAAAGTGACTATGCATAAATACTTAACAGAGTAGCAGCAGCGTAAAAAGGATGGGGTGGGGGGGCAGTGCAAATAGTCCGGGTAGCCATGATTAGCTGTTCAGGAGTCTTATGGCTTGGGGGTAGAAGCTGTTGAGAAGTCTTTTGGACCTAGACTTGGCACTCCGGTACCGCTTGCCGTGCGGTAGCAGAGAGAACAGTCTATGACTAGGGTGGCTGGAGTCTTTGACAATTTTGAGGGCCTTCCTCTGACACTGCCTGGTATAGAGGTCCTGGATGGCAGGAAGCTTTGCCCCAGTGATGTACTGGGCCGTACGCACTACCCTCTGTAGTGCCTTGCGGTCGGAGGCCAAGCAGTTGCCATACCAGGCGGTGATGCAACCAGTCAGGATGCTCTCGATGGTGCAGCTGTATAATTTTTTGGGGATCTGAGGACCCATGCCAAATCTTTTTAGTCTCCTGAGGGGGAGTAGGCTTTGTCGTGCCCTCTTCACGACTGTCTTGGTGTGTTTGGACCATGATAGTTCGTTGGTGATGTGGACACCAAGGAACTTGAAGCTCTCAACCTGTTCCACTACAGCCCCGTCGATGAGAATGGGGGCGTGCTCAGTCCTCTTTTTTTTCCTGTAGTCCACAATCATCTCCTTTGTCTTGGTCACGTTGAGGGAGAGGTTGTTGTCCTGGCACCACACGGCCAGATCTCTGACCTCCTCCCTATAGGCTGTCTCATCGTTGTCGGTGATCAGGCCTACCACTGTTGTGTCGTCGGCAAACTTAATGATGGTGTTGGAGTCGTGCCTGGCCATGCAGTCATGGGTGAACAGAGAGTACAGGAGGGGACTGAGCACGCACCCCTGAGGGGCCCCCGTGTTGAGGATCAGTGTGGCAGATGTGTTGTTACCTACCCGGGGAGATTATCAGTGGTCTTGTATGTCTTCCATTTCCTTATAATTGCTCCCACAGTTGATTTCTTCAAACCAAGCTGCTTACCTATTGCAGATTCAGTCTTCCCAGCCTGGTGCAGGTCTACAATTTTGTTTCTGGTGTCCTTTGACAGCTCTTTGGTCTTGGCCATAGTGGAGTTTGGAGTGTGACTGTTTGAGGTTGTGGAGAGGTGTCTTTTATACTGATAACAAGTTCAAACAGGTGCCATTAATACAGGTAACGAGTGGAGGACAGAGGAGCCTCTTAAAGAAGAAGTTACAGGTCTGTGAGAGCCAGAAATCGTGCTTGTTTGTAGGTGACCAAATAATTATTTTCCACCATAATCTGCAAATAAATTCATAAAAAATCCTACAATGTGATTTTCTGGAATTTTTTTTCTCAATTTGTCTGTCATAGTTGACGTGTACCTATGATGAAAATTACAGGCCTCTCTCATCTTTCTAAGTGGGAGAACTTGCACAATTGGTGGCTGACTAAATACTTGATTTCCCCACTGTAGGTTCTAATATGGCAATTTCTTCCTGGCTTGGCTTCTCCAGTGTTTTTACCCACACACTGCTAGTGTTAAAACTGCAAAAGTGTCTCTCCACCCAATGGCAAAATGGATAGAATTGCAGGAAATTTGCTTTTAGGGTAACTGCAAAAAAAAAAATCTGCCCCATGGCAAAATGAGTAGAACTGCATGAAATGTGTTAGAAAATGTCAATATTTTCCCTAGGCCCCATGGCAAAATGTGTAGAATTGCAGGAAATGTACTTTAAAACGTACATTGTTTCTCTCCGCTGTCAAGACAGGGGCCAGCAAAATGCTTTGCCCGCAAGGTGGGGGGAACCCCAACCAAATCTCACTAAGGGCCCCCAAAAGGCTAGGCTAGGGCCAGCCCTGGCTACAGTTAGCTTAACTGCACAAATGGATTGATTCCATAAATCAGTTGACTGCAGGTGTGGGTATGGATGTGGGTACACAGACCCGCAAGCCACTGCGGCCCCTCATGATGAGTTCAGATTTTTTGTGGCCCCCACCCCAATCAAAGTTGCCCATCACTGGTCTAATTGTATCCCCCATAGATAGTATTTTATAAAAATTATCACCTCATAATTGTGCTGTCTTTTTTAGTGATTGTTTGGTAGGATGAAAGGTAGACTGATGATCCTGGACTGGTAGACTCATAAGATGTTATTTGGTCACATAGTTTGCGTTCTACTCTGCTTCTCCGACGTCTTCAGTCAGGGACCTTGGCAATTCTAACTTGGTCAGAGAATTTCAGCCTTGTTTCAGCATTCATAGCACAAGTAATCAATAAAAAATACAGACTTCTAAAGGAGTAAAGGATTTATTTATATATACAAAACTGTTTACAGCTAGATTTCTGAGTTAACACTAACCAATGTGGGGGTATTGGTGTTCAGGTGTGTGTTGTGCACCTTGTTTTCTCCATTGGGTCAAGTCAACAGAGAAGGGGGAAAAACCTAGAGGACCTTGAGTCAGGTAGGGAAACAGGTGGGGAATAAAGCGGGGGATTGAAGGGTAAGGCACAAGACACAGCATCACCAGCTTCTCTTAGGCTGAGTTTACACAGGCAGCCCAATTCTGATCTTTTGACCAATCACATCAGATATTTTTCAGCACAGATCTTGATTGGTCAGAGGACCAAGTAGTGGAAAAAAAAGTTTATAATTGGGCTGCCTGTGTAAACGCAGCCTTAGACTGCATCATCAATCAATCAATCTACTACTTACTCAAAGAGAAGCACTATAAAAAAAAAAATCTAAACAATAATAGATACTAGGGGGTGGACTGTCTGGATAAATGGAAGTAATGTGAGTAAAAACCATTGGACTTCAAATTGATCTTTTGTTTGTAAGGCTAAAGTGGACATGCAAATCAGGTTATGTTGAGCACTGTGTCCGATGGGAGTCCCTGACTCAAAACTAAATTCATAAGTCATGTGTCATAAGGCATCCTTGCTTGGCTTGACCAAGCCCTACATCACTTCTGGAATCAAAACCCCAAAACTCAAACTAAACCAGCAGATCCTGTGGTCCCCATGAAAAGGTTAACAGTCCACAGTGGTAAGAAATTATCAGTGAATGCAAAAACAGCAACTCCATAATATTCTTAATTATAGTATAATTGTATGCAGACATTTTGTTCAATATGCTGCTAAATGAACACACTTGTATTATCTCAGGATATAACTAACAACACTATCAAACCTGTGTCTAGGATCCTAGTGCTCTGGGATCAAAAGGCCACAACTTTTTTAATATAACAGATCCATTCCACTCTCTTCTAAACATCATTCAAGGGGGCCTCGTCCACTGGATAATTACAGCTTCATTATTAATGTCAGATGGTAAATCATAGAGGAAGGGAGCGAGGACCAATCTGCCAACCAGAAGTGAAGAACAAAAATGTATTCTAAAATACATGATTTACAGTTCAAGGGTGAAGTGTAACCTGAAGTTGACTTGCTGAAAGTTTTACAGTGAAAAAATGTTAGCCAAGACCAATACTATAGGAAATGTACTTCTGCAACACACATATTGTGTGAAAGAGAACTAATTCCAAGATACTGTAACCAAGACATTAATCAGTTGTGAATTATAGTAACTTTCCAACGCTGCTACAACAGCAATGTGAACAGTGGCTCTCTGCCATGGCCGGTGTATTCATTGAAGTATACAGATGACCTGAGAAAAGAAGTCAGGCATGTTTTTTAGGCATCAAGGTCAGCCCTTATTATGTACAAGGTGAAGCTAGCCAGTGAGAGTTGGGGACACTAGCCAGTCACCGCTGCATCTGTTGATGCACGGCTAACTATTTGATTGTAATTATCAGGGAGCTGTTTTTTGTTGTGAAGTTTGGGCTTGTGGCTCTTACATTTGGTATTTCCATGTTTTGTTTTTCATGAGGTTTGGTTTATGCCAACCAAACTTAATAGACTTCAGTAAAACTGACAGTGAAACTCGTGTGACACGTCAGAGTTCTCCTTAGTCAGCCTTGAGTGTGATTGGCTGCCTTTGTGTAAAACACATGAATTATAAGTGGCCACATTGCGACTGCGGCTCCTTGGTGCTAGGGAGGTCATGATTGGCAGGCTGGTGATGTTGTGTCTCCTGGCTTCGGCCAATGAGCTTACTGCTGTCCCTCTTACATCACGGCACACTTTTTCTCCTCTGAGGGAACGTTCCCATCCGCCCTTTCCATCTCCAGAATGATCCGCTTGAATACCTCTACAGCGGTCTGCAATGCATAGAGTTGAACGTAGAAAAACAATCAATAAATAATCTCATGCTTTTGAATAGACAAATATGTGGATGAGTAGCTCTGTCTGCAGAGAAGATATCGTTGTGTACCTCGTTTTCCTTGGCAGAAGATTCCATGAATGCTGCTCCCCATGAGTGGGCCAGCTTCTTCCCTTCCTCTGGCTTGATCACCCTGAGGGGAGGAGGGACACACTGAGCATGATGTAATGAAATCACACCTTTTTATAGGCATGAATGTACCTCTATGGTCACAAGGTCCAAAACCTTGGCTGGGTAACCAAGGTGAAACCATATACCAGTTTTTGAAATCAGATGGTAGTGGCATGGTTCTATACATAATGTACCAGCCATGCATGTGAGTGGGAGCACTATTACTCTCCTCCTTCATTCAGCTCAAGTAGGTTTACCTTTCCATGTGGAGATCTTTTTTATTTCCAACAAGAACAGTTGGCACCCTAAAAGAAAACACATCAATTTATATTTTTTTACTTGGAAAACCAATTTTTTAAGACACAAACAGATCAAAAGTAGCATCACCAACCTTTTATAACTTAGGTTAACTTACTGTATTTTCCCAACCATATCTAGTAGCTTGTCATGAAGAACCTGAACAACTTCAAAACTGCAAAAAGTAAAAGACAAAAAGAGACAGGTTACCAGTGTGCATTGATGGATATACAACTATCTATACACACAGTAGAGTCGCAAGGTCAACAGAGAGCCAGAACAAAGGATGAACCGCGAATGAAATGTACCCATGACTACTCACCTTTTCATGGATGTTACTGCATAGACCAAGACATAACCGTGGATGTCCATTGAATGAGACTGAGGGAAAATAGAGTACTCGTCCTGTAGAGATAAGGGGAGAAATCGGTTAAAGAGGAAACACACAAGAAATACAGACAGACAAGTGCTTCTGAAAATAATATCGGCTGTTGTTTTTCGTTCATATCCCAACAATTGTACATGTTGCATCAGCACAAACGGTCACTGATCACCAGACCCCAACAGGTGGTATAAAAATGTATTTTGTGTTATTTCAGAGAGCTGAGAAACAGAGGTAAAGAAAGAAGATGAGTAATGTAAAGCATACATACCTGACCAGCAGTATCGACCAACTGAAGATTGAAGTCTTGACCGTTGACAGACACCGTTTTGTTGAAGGCTGGAAATATGTGAAGAGGCAGTGGTCAAGCCCAAGCCAGGCCACATAAGGGGGACACGTGGTAATTGCTGGATATAGCATGATCATAAATGGAGCATATGTTTTGCTTTTCACCCATGCATATTATTTGATCCTCAATGACACCTTATAATGGGTGCAATAACATAGAATAACAAAACTGATCCAACGAGAAACGAAAAAAATATACTTACTGTTTTCAATGGTAGGGTCATATGAATCTACGAACTGTCCTTCCACGAACTGTATTGTGAGAGATGACTTTCCTGTAGAGGAAAATTGAATTGTTGTGGCCGATGAGCAGCAATTTCCAAAATCATAGGAAAACTAAAATACCATTTGCTAAGTAAAACACTCAATGTTACCTGACTCCGAACAACATTTCTACACTGTGATTGGCTATGTTAGTTATGACTGCAGATATTTCATATTGCAAATATCTAGATAGCTAGGTCTATGAGCTAACGTTAGCAACGTTAGTTGGCCGCGTTAACACATCGTGGAACTTAGCTTAAGTTGTTGTGGCAAAGTTAGCACACAACTTTGGCATGGTGAGTGAGTAGAAGGCTATCAACTACAACGTTTATACATGAACAACGTCTATACATCAAAACACTACCCAATTCACAATTACATAGCTATGGCATTCTCTTCTGTGCTTGATTCTGTTTTGGTACTAGAAGCTAGCTAGCCTTTTTCTTGCATAGCTAGTACGCTATTGCTAGCTAGCAATACCGTACAGTAGCTATGCAAACAAAAACAAAGGCTAGCTAAGTAGCTTCTTATTTCACTCACCGACAGATCTGTACCCAATCACAGCTATCTTCCTGTATTTTGGTTGAGGCATTGTTTTAAAATAGTAACTTCAATAGATAATGTTAAAATGTTGTAGCTATGGTCGTTTTAATAAAGAAACAAAAACTTTATCGCCACATTCGTTTCACGTCACGTGACAACAACAAACTTTTCAGAGCCGTTCGAGCTAACACTTCGCTGGCGTCGAGTTGCAACTTCAGAACTGAACTGAAGCTGGTAGAACACGTATTTCGACTGATATTTGCAATATATCGGTTATCGATACAGTTATGTATGGCGATAATTGGTTTGAATGATCTAAATATTAGTTTTTAGAACTTAAAACAGGAAACCAAAACGGCTTATTCACAGCAGTTAGGCTTCGCGAGTCACACTGTCGGAAACTGGACAAGCACACCGTCGTAAAACTACGTACGTCAGCGCTTGACATGAGGTTGCCCTATTTTGTACAGCAGAGGTCACTCTCACCCTGATTTACTTATATACAAACGTTTGTGAGAGAAACACAAATTAGGCATTTTTAACACATTCATATAGCAAAACCCATTCAGCTGTTTTTATTATTTAATGCTCAATGACCGTACAAGATTAGCATACTTTTACAGAAACAGGCTTTAAAAAATAATAATAATATATGCCATTTAGCAGACACTTTTACCCAAAGCCACTTACAGTCATGCGTGCATACATTTTAAGAATGGGTGGTCCCCAATGCTTGACTTGGACTGAAATATGTGCTGGTACTCATTTTGGGTGCTGGTACTGTTTATATTTAGGTGCAGGAGCTCCACAATACTTTTGAGTTAACATTCTATAACAGGAACAGGAGCTCAAGCAGTAGAACATTTGAGGTGCTGGTACTCAGCTCCGGTGAGCTCCTGCTTGACGCTGGAATCCAACCCACTATCCTGGCGTTGCAAGCGCCATGCTGTACCAATTGAGCTACAGAGGACCACACAGAGAACCTTTTATCAGTTTTAAATAGACCTATGCTTATTTTAAGGCTCAGACCCTATCAATCATGAATGTGTACGGTGGTCCTTGTTAAGATGGCATAAGTGTACAACAAAATCTGTTAAATAGCTGCTTTAAAAGTTATGTATGTTAGGTTGAGTACACTTATGCCATCTTTGTGTAGCTCCAGCAGCGCCTCAACGACAAAATTGAAGAAGATAGAAACTATCTAAAATGATGACATAAGACTTATCTTTACCATCTTTACAATACCATTTGGTACTTAGACGCATAACAGATGGTGTGGGACATGGATTTGTCTAAAGACTACCCTACTTTTGAGGCTCTAAAAACCTACTTACTTACAGATTGGAGTGAAACAGGGTTGCCAAATCAGTACATTTTCTTAGTGGGTATGCTATGCTCAAACCAAAACAAGCAGCAATGATGTAAGAAACAGACAGAAAAAAATATTTATTGTTCCATTAGAAGAGTCCTTACAAAAACTCTCTTCAGTTTAGATATTCACAGTTTTAAACAATTTTCATATACTTTTAACCAGAGTTCACAGTTATAGATAGCTAACAATCATAAATCATAGTAAAGCATACAGTTTTACAAGACATACAGACAATTGAACATGTAGTAGCCTACTGTTCTGGCATTGAAATGACAACACATTTTGACATTTGTATGATTTAATTTTAATTTTATTTATTTCACCTTTATTTAACCAGGTAAGCCAGTTGAGAACAAGTTCTCATTTACAACTGCAACCTCAGGAGAGGTTGAGGAGTGTTTTACCCGTGAGACAATAACAAATGAACATTCACTTGAGGTCAACATAAATCTATGGCCACAAACTCATCATTAAAAAACAAAAAACTTAATTTACAAAATGAAATGAACTTGGTACAATATTGGAGAAAAATGTCCGTGCATGTACACAACGTTGCGCAAAAAATTAATGTACACTGACGGACACATGGACACACGCACACACTCAAACACACACACAGATAGCCTTTCTCAAACACACACATCACAGTTTAACTTGGTCTTAAGTTCCAGGCCATTGTTTCCGGTCTGTACTTTAAATTTCCTTTAGCACCGTGGTGCTAAGCATTGTATGTTTCTGTTCTCTTCATAAAAGACTGTTGTCCAACTTTTCAATCCAACAATAAAATGTCCTTATCACATAAGGTTGTGATACAAATATGTAAATGAGAATGATATACTAAAAATAGTAATATAGTAGAATTGGCCATATGCACTGAAGTAGAGTTACTGTACACATCCCTTACTTTAATTAATGTTAACTGATTTACTCTTATTCTTTGACACCATACATCAGCTTCTTTCCTAAACATTCCATTAGAGGACAACAGAAAGAAGGGAAATTATGTTCACAAGATGACACAGCAGAATAAATAATTTGAATAATACACAAGGTAATAAGTGCAAGAGCGCAATAGGCAAAAAGGGAGAGAGAGAGGAGAGGAAAAGACAGTGATATCTAGAGAAGTATACAGAGCTGAAGTTCTTGTGGAGTTCCTTCCAGTCAAGGATCAAGATGTTTTGAGAATGGCAGACAGTTTAGCAAAAGTCATCGTGGATGTCTATGAAGGGTTCATGTATTGGGAAAGACCTTGAGACTAGAAGACGACCATCTCTATATACTATACATGTCAATTCTTCCTCCCTTTCTGTTCATTTTGCTTCCTTCACCATTGTCTTCCTCTTCTTTTTTTGCAAAAAATGTATTTTATTTCTCACATACTCCATTATAAACCTGACAGACGAGGAGACAAATTGCATTGGTCCCCTTGGTGCAGTACCTGTCCTGTACCTATTCTCTGAAGTATAATCATGTCTGAGGTCCAAGTCCAGAGTTTCATCCTCTTCTCAGTGGTGACAGGATCACCAGTCGTCCATCAGCAAACAGGTCAATCCCCTTCTCTCTTTCAAAGAGAGTTTACTACAGCTAAATATTTGGGGACACTGCTCTTTGGCAAGCTCACTTTGGTAAGCCCAGGTCATTGGCTTGTTGAAGTTCACTGAATCTTTGAGAGTCCATTAGCCAATAGGAGCCTGAGTGGGATGGTGGAGCGGGACACGGTCAATGGCAGTATATTCAGCCCTGGGAAGAGAGAGAGGACCATATTAGTGAATTAACCGATCACAACGTGTGTAAGTGTGCGTGTGTGTGTGTGTGCATGAGCAAGCATACATACAGTATCTCACAAAAGTGAGTACACCCCTCACAGTTTTGTAAATATTTGAGTATATCTTTTCATGTGACAACACTGAAGAAATGACACTTTGCTACAATGTAAAGTAGTGAGTGTACAGCTTGTATAACAGTGTACATTTGCTGTCCCCTCAAAATAACACAACACACAGCCATTAATGTCTAAACCGCTGGCAACGAAAGTGAGTACACCCCTAAGTGAAAATGTCAAAATTGGGCCCAAAGTGTCAATATTTTGTCAACATTTTCCAGCACTCCCTTAACCATCTTGGGCATGGAGTTCACCAGAGCTTCACAGGTTGCCACTGGAGTCCTCTTCCACTCCTCCATGACGACATCACAGAGCTGGTGGATGTTAGAGACCTTGCACTCCTCCACCTTCCATTTGAGGATGTCCCACAGATGCTCAATAGGGTTTAGGTCTGGAGACATGCTTGGCCAGTCCATCACCTTTACCCTCAGCTTCTTTAGCAAGGCAGTGGTCGTCTTGGAGGTGTGTTTGGGGTCGTTATCATGTTGGAATACTGCCCTGCGGCCCAGTCTCCGAAGGGAGGGGATCATGCTCTGCTTCAGTATGTCACAGTACGTTGGCATTCATGGTTCCCTCAATGAACTGTAGCTCCCCAGCGCCGACAGCACTCATGCAGCCCCAGACCATGACACTCCCACCACCATGCTTGACTGTAGGCAAGAGACACTTGTCTTTGTACTCCTCACCTGGTTGCCGCCACACACGCTTGACACCATCTGAACCAAATAAGTTTATCTTGGTCTCATCAGACCACAGGACATGGTTCCAGTAATCCATGTCCTTAGTCTGCTTGTCTTCAGCAAACTGTTTGCGGGTTTTCTTGTGCATTATCTTTAAAGAGGCTTCCTTCTGGGACGACAGCCATGTAGACCAATTTGTTACAGTGTGCGGCGTATGGTCTGAGCACTGACAGGCTGACCCCCCACCCCTTCAACCTCTGCAGCAATGCTGGCAGCACTCATACGTCTATTTCCCAAAGACAACCTCTGGATATGACGCTGAGCACGTGCACTCAACTTCTTTGGTCGACCATGGCGAGGCCTGTTCTGAGTGGAACCTGTCCTGTTAAACCGCTGTATGGTCTTGGCCACCGTGCTGCAGCTCAGTTTCAGGGTCTTGGCAATCTTCTTATAGCCCAGGCCATCTTTATGTAGAGCAACAATTCTTTTTTTCAGATCCTCAGAGAGTTCTTTGCCATGTTGAACTTCCAGTGACCAGTATGAGGGAGTGTGAGAGCGATGACACCAAATTTAACACACCTGCTCCCCATTCACACCTGAGACCTTGTAACACTAACGAGTCACATGACACCGGGGAGGGAAAATGGCTAATTGGGCCCAATTTGGACATTTTCACTTAGGGGTGTACTCACTTTTGTTGCCAGCGGTTTAGACATTAATGGCTGTGTGTTGAGTTATTTTGAGGGGACAGCAAATTTACACTGTAATACAAGCTGTACACTCACTACTTTACATTGTAGCAAAGTGTCATTTCTTCAGTGTTGTTACGTGAAAATATATACTCAAATATTAACAAAAATGTGAGGGGTGTATTCACTTTTGTGAGATATTGTATATGTATGCGTAACTGTCTATGTTTTTGTTATTTTGTTATTTTATTTTTTCTCCCTTTTTCTCCCCAATTTCGTGATATCCAATTGCGATCCAATTACGATCTTGTCTCATCGCTGCAACTCCCCAAGGGGCTTTGGAGAGGTGAAAGTCGAGTCATGCGTTCTCCGAAACATGACCCGCCAAACCGCGCTTCTTAACACCCGCCCGCTTAACCTGGAAGCCAGCCGCACCAATGTGTCGGAGGAAACACCGTCCAACTGACGACCGAAGTCAGCCTGCAAGCGCCCAGCCCACCACAAGGAGCTGCTAGAGCGCGATGAGCCAAGTAAAGCCCCCCCGGCCAAACCCTCCCCTAATCCGGACGACACTGGGCCAATTGTGCGCCGCACTATGGGACTCCCGGTCATGGCCAGTGGTGTGATGGGTGATTTTAAGGAGTCAGGCGCAGGAGGGTAAATCACAGAATAACATGATTTATTCCGGAATACAGAGTTACGCAGTAAAGCGTCAAAACAGTCCAGTGCGCAAAACAGGCGCACTGGAACCAACAAGGCACACGGGGAAAAATAACCCAGCGATACAAAATACAAGGAGCTCCACTATCCTCACAATAAACAATCACACACAAAGACAAGGGGGCAGAGGGAACACTTATACAGGTACTGATTAATATGAATTAATATGCCATTTAGCAGACGCTTTTATCCAAAGTGACTTACAGTCATGTGCGCATACATTTTTACGTATGGGTGGTCCCGGGGATCGATCCCACTACCCTGGCGTTACAAGCGCCATGCTCTACCAATTGAGCTACAGAGGACCACACGAGGGGATATGAACCAGGTGTGTGTAATAAACAAGACAAAACAAATGGAATGATAAGATGAGGAGCGGCAGTGGCTAGAAGGCCAGTGACGACGAACGCCGAAGCCTGCCCGAACAAGGAGAGGAGGCAGCCTTGGAGGAAGTTGTGACAGGTAGTGACACAGCCTGGGATCGAACCCGGGTCTGTAGTGACACCTCAAGCACTGCGATGCAGTGACTTAGACCGCTGCGCCAATCGTGAGGTCCCGTAAGGCACTACAGAGGGTAGTGCGTACAGCCCAGTACATCACTGGGGCCAAGCTTCCTGCCATCCAGGACCTATATACTAGGTGGTGTCAGAGGAAGGCCCAAAAAATTGTCAAAGACTCCTGTCACCCAAGTCATAGACTGTTCTCTCTGCTACCACACAGCAAGCGGTACTGGAGCGCCAAGTCTAGGTCCAAAAGGCTCCTTAACAGCTTCTACCCCCAAGCCATAAGACTGCTGAACAATTAATCAAATGGCAACCTGGACTATTTTCATTGACTGTACACCCGCACATTGACTTGGTACCGATACCCCCTGTATATAGCCTCATTATTGTTATTTTATGTGTTACTTTTTGTATTTATATATTTTTATTTTATTTTATTTAGTAAATATTTTTCTTAACTCTATTTTCTTAAAACTGCATTGTTGGTTAAGGGCTTGTAAGTAAGCATTTCACGGTAAGGTCTACACCTTTTGTATTTGGCGCATGTGACAAATGATTTGATTTGATTTGTGTGACCCCCACATACCGAATGCTCTGATGAGTTCCCTCTGTACGGTCCATGTGAGAGTGTTGATCAAACAGGCAGAGGTCAGCCCAGCAAACAGTACGTTATACAGGAAGACGATGTGGAAGTTTCCCAGCCAGTTATACTGACCAAAGTCTCCCAGCAGATCAAACCGGGTGATCCCTGAATCATCAAGATCAAAGGAGAAATATTAAATGATTGTTTAGAAAAAGTATCTATTTGTTTTTATTTTATATATATGTCAGTCCATCATACAACAGCACCTGACACTGATACTCCACTGAAGACTTACCCAGAGTCCTAGAGAATACGGGCAGAGCTGAGCTGAGCACCAATAGAGACACACAGTTCCCAATAATCTGTGAAAAGAGAGAGAGATAGATGGGTTATTAGAGTGCCCAATGGAAGAGAGAGCGAACCGTGTGTATGTGCATGCCAGTGTGTGTGTGTGTGTGTGTGTACCTGTGTCAGTGTGGTGTCCTGCGCACGGGGTCGTAGTCCAGTGAACAGTGGTGAGCTGTAGAAACCCACTACTGAGGAGATCATGAGATACAAGATGAGGACCGCCTGTACTGTAGCCCCTAACGAACCAAACATGGAGAACGAGGCAGCGCCCAGGAGAGGGTCCTTTAAGAAAAGAGAGAGATCCTCTGTTATCCTGTGTTAATACAATTGAATGTCAGTAGTACACACGAGATATAAACTCTGTTTCATAGTGTATATAGGTCTACTACAGAGTACAATTTTATGCTGTACAGTGTTCATAGGCAAGAACTACAGGTATACAAGTAGTGGCTACATATCTTTGTTTGAATTAAATTAGATATTTGCTGAATTATTATTATTATTATTATTATTATTATTATTATTATTATATTTTTGGGGGTTAGATCAGCTTTAATATTGCAGACAGATTGTAACTTCCATCAATGTAATTGTCTGCATCACCTCCAATCCCCCATATGTTTTTTTTCTCACAAATATATATTTCCCTTTATTACTTTCCAACCCCACCACCCCTTCCCTAATTGGAGTAAACTAGTGAACAACATCGCTCAGGCCTCTACTTCCAGCTTGTACATACTACAGTGAGGGAAAAAAGTATTTTCTCCCCTGCTGATTTTGTACGTTTTCCCACTGACAAAGACATGATCAGTCTATAATTTGAATGGTAGGTTTATTTGAACAGTGAGAGACAGAATAACAACAAAAAAATCCAGAAAAACGCATGTCAAAAATGTTATAAATTGATTTGCATTTTAATGAGGTAAATAAGTATTTGACCCCTCTGCAAAACATGACTTAGTACTTGGTGGCAAAACCCTTGTTGGCAATCACAGAGGTCAGACGTTTCTTGTAGTTGGCCACCAGGTTTGCACACATCTCAGGAGAGATTTTGTTCCACTCCTCTTTGCAGATCTTCTCCAAGTCATTAAGGTTTCGAGGCTGACGTTTGGCAACTCGAACCTTCAGCTCCCTCCACAGATTTTCTATGGGATTAAGGTCTGGAGACTGCCTAGGCCACTCCAGGACCTTAATGTGCTTCTTCTTGAGCCACTCCTTTGTTGCCTTGGCCGTGTGTTTTGGGTCATTGTCATGCTGGAATACACATCCACAACCCATTTTCAATGCCCTGGCTGAGGGAAGGAGGTTCTCACCCAAGATTTGACGGTACATGGCCCCGTCCATCGTCCCTTTGATGCGGTGAAGTTGTCCTGTCCCCTTAGCAGAAAAACACCCCCAAAGCATAATGTTTCCACCTCCATGTTTGACGGTGGGGATGGTGTTCTTGGGGTCAAAGGCAGCATTCCTCCTCCTCCAAACACGGCGAATTGAGTTGATGCCAAAGAGCTCGATTTTTGTCTCATCTGACCAGTTCTCCTCTGAATCATTCAGATGTTCATTGGCAAACTTCAGACGGTATATGTGCTTTCTTGAGCAGGGGGACCTTGCGGGCGCTGCAGGATTTTAGTCCTTCACGGCGTAGTATGTTACCAATTGTTTTCTTGGTGACTATGGTCCCAGCTGCCTTGAGATCATTGACAAGATCCTCCCGTGTAGTTCTGGGCTGATTCCTCACCGTTCTCATGATCATTGCAACTCCACGAGGTGAGATCTTGCATGGAGCCCCAGGCCGAGGGAGATTGACAGTTATTTTGTGTTTCTTCCATTTGCGAAGAATCGCACCAACTGTTGTCACCTTCTCACCAAGCTGCTTGGCGATGGTCTTGTAGCCTATTCCAGCCTTGTGTAGGTCTACAATCTTGTCCCTGACATCCTTGGAGAGCTCTTTGGTCTTGGCCATGGTGGAGAGTTTGGAATCTGATTGATTGCTTCTGTGGACAGGTGTCTTTTATACAGGTAACAAACTGAGATTAGGAGCACTCCCTTTAAGAGTGTGCTCCTAATCTCAGCTCGTTACCTGTATAAAAGACACCTGGGAGCCAGAAATCTTTCTGATTGAGAGGGAGTCAAATAATTATTTCCCTCATTAAAATGCAAATAAATTTATAACATTTTTGACATGGATTTTTCTCCCACTGTTCAAATAAACCTACCATTAAAATTATAGACTGATAATTTCTTTGTCAGTGGGCAAACGTACAAAATCAGCAGGGGATCAAATACTTTTTCCCCCTCACTGTATATACATTTTATGGACATATTTTTTTGTTTTTACTCCTGAACTTCCTCTACCCTCAACCTCTCCGATCATTTTCATGATGTCCATCCGGTTTGCTTCTATATGCCATATCTTTCTAACTGTGCTCTTTCACAAAAGTTCTCAACCTATAACCTATATACAGTGGGGAGAACAAGTATTTGATACACTGCCGATTTTGCAGGTTTTCCTACTTACAAAGCATGTAGAGGTCTGTCATTTTTATCATAGGTACACTTCAACTGTGAGAGATGGAATCTAAAACAAAAATCCAGAAAATCACATTGTATGATTTTTAAGTAATTAATTTGCATTTTATTGCATGACATAAGAATTTGATACATCAGAAAAGCAGAACTTAATATTTGGTACAGAAACCTTTGTTTGCAATTACAGAGATCATACGTTTCCTGTAGGTCTTGACCAGGTTTGCACACACTGCAGCAGGGATTTTGGCCCACTCCTCCATACAGACCTTCTCCAGATCCTTCAGGTTTCGGGGCTGTCGCTGGGCAATACGGACTTTCAGCTCCCTCCAAAGATTTTCTATTGGGTTCAGGTCTGGAGACTGGCTAGGCCACTCCAGGACCTTGAGATGCTTCTTACGGAGCCACTCCTTAGTTGCCCTGGCTGTGTGTTTCGGGTCGTTGTCATGCTGGAAGACCCAGCCAAGACCCATCTTCAATGCTCTTACTGAGGGAAGGAGGTTGTTGGCCAAGATCTCGCGATACATGGCCCCATCCATCCTCCCCTCATTACGGTGCAGTCGTCCTGTCCCCTTTGCAGAAAAGCATCCCCAAAGAATGATGTTTCCACCTCCATGCTTCACGGTTGGGATGGTGTTCTTGGGGTTGTACTCATCCTTCTTCTTCCTCCAAACACGGCGAGTGGAGTTTAGACCAAAAAGCTCTATTTTTGTCTCATCAGACCACATGACCTTCTCCCATTCCTCCTCTGGATCATCCAGATGGTCATTGGCAAACTTCAGATGGGCTGGACATGCGCTGGCTTGAGCAGGGAGACCTTGCGTGTGCTGCAGGATTTTAATCCATGACGGCGTAGTGTGTTACTAATGGTTTTCTTTGAGACTGTGGTCCCAGCTCTCTTCAGGTCATTGACCAGGTCCTGCCGTGTAGTTCTGGGCTGATCCCTCACCTTCCTCATGATCATTGATGCCCCACGAGGTGAGATCTTGCATGGAGCCCTAGACCGATGGTGATTGACCGTCATCTTGAACTTCTTCCATTTTCTAATAATTGCGCCAACAGTTGTTGCCTTCTCACCAAGCTGCTTGCCTATTGTCCTGTAGCCCATCCCAGCCTTGTGCAGGTCTACAATTTTATCCCTGATGTCCTTACACAGCTCTCTGGTCTTGGCCATTGTGGAGAGGTTGGAGTCTGTTTGATTGAGTGTGTGGACAGGTGTCTTTTATACAGGTAACGAGTTCAAACAGGTGCAGTTAATACAGGTAATGAGTGGAGAACAGAAGGGCTTCTTAAAGAAAAACGAACAGGTCTGTGAGAGCCGGAATTCTTACTGGTTGGTAGGTGATCAAATACTTATGTCATGCAACAAAATGCAAATTAATTACTTAAAAATCATACAATGTGATTTTCTGGATTTTTGTTTTAGATTCCGTCTCTCACAGTTGAAGTGTACCTATGATAAAAATTACAGACCTCTACATGCTTTGTAAGTAGGAAAACCTGCAAAATCGGCAGTTTATCAAATACTTGTTCTCCCCACTGTACTTATTATGGACACAGTATGCTTTACATTAGTTATCTTGTTGTTATTAGTTATTGTTAGTTGTTATTAGTCCCATCCTTCAGCTCCATTCAACACCTCCCATCTATCTCTTAACACCATCCATATTGGATTTCTATTTGCCATATATTTTTCAACTGTACTGTGATGTTTCACAAAAGTTCTGAACCCTTCTATTCTCATTGTTTCTACAGATTGTAAATTGAAAATACATTTTTTTGCTAAAAGTATTATTATATAATTGATCGATTGACTATGACTTTTCAGATCACTGTCACGATCGTTGAGAGACGGGTCAGACCAAGGTGCAGCGTGGTATGCGTACATATTTATTAATAAGAATAAACACTTGACAAAATAACAAAAACAACGAAAACGTGAAGTCCTATGGGCTATACACAAACAAGCCAAACAGGAACACAAACAAGATCCCACAACTAAGGTAGGCAACCAGGCTACTTAAGTATGATCCCCAATCAGAGACAACGAGCGACAGCTGCCTCTGATTGGGAATCACACCCGGCCAAACATAGAAATACTAGAATACAATATAGAAATACAATAACATAGATCTCAAACTGAACTCACACCCTGACCCAACCAACAAGAGTTCTCTAGGTCAGGGCGTGACAGTACCCCCCCCCCCCCCCCGCAACAGTGCGTACTCCGGCCGACCAAACCTGATTCATTAGGGGAGGGTCCGGGTGGGCATTCAGCCTCGGAGGCGGCTCCGGCTCCGGGCATGACGACCTCTACCTCTCTGCCTCCCGTTGCGCCCCTGGTCTGGTCCTCGGCGCGATGCTTCCCCTCTCCTTCCTCCCACGATGCACCAAGCCCTGTCTGGACCCTGGTGTGGGAGACCCTGAACCTGGAGAGGGGCTGACTTCTGGGTCTGGAGTGGAGCTGCTGACCAAGGCTGAACTGGACCCCGGTGGAGCGGACTGCCCTGGCTCCGGAGTAGAACCACTGACCGGAGCTGGACTAGGCACCGGTGGAGCGGACTACTCTGGCTCCGGAGTGGAACCGCTGACCGGAGCTGGACTAGGCACCGGTGGAGCGGACTGCTCTGGCTCCGGAGTGGAGCCGCTGACCGGAGCTGGACTCGGCACCGGTGGAGCGGACTGCTCTGGCTCCGGAGTGGAACCGCTGACCGGAGCGGGACTGGGAACACGCACCACTGGTCTGGTGCGAGGAGCAGGCACGGGCCGTGCCGGACTAGATACACGCACCACTGGTTTGGTGCGGGGAGCAGGCACGGGTCATGCCGGACTGGAGACACGCACCACAGGTTTGGTGTGAGGAGCAGGCACGGGCCGTGCCGGACTGGATACACGCACCACTGGTTTGGTGCGGGGAGCAGGTACGGGGCGTACCGGGCTGGCGACACGCACCACAGGTTTGGTGCAGGGAGCAGGTACGGGCCGTACTGGACTGGATACACGCACCGCTGGTTTGGTGCGGGGAGCAGGTACGGGGCGTACCGGGCTGGCGACAAGCACCACTGGTTTGGTGCGGGGAGAAGGTACGGGCCGTACTGGACTGGATACACGCACCGCTGGTTTGGTGCGGGGAGCAGGTACGGGGCGTACCGGGCTGGCGACAGGCACCACTGGTTTGGTGCGAGGAGCTGGCACAGGCCGTACCGGGCTGTGGAGGCGCACTGGAGGTCTGGAGCGTAGAGCTGACACAACCCGTCCTGGCTGGATGCCCACTTCCGCACGGTACGTGCGTGGCGTTAGCACAGGACGCACTGGGCTGTGAACGCGCACTGGAGACACAGTACCTAGAACCACCGCAGGATATGCTGGACCGAGGAGGCGTACTGGAGACCAGGAGCGTTGAGCCGGCACAACCCGTCCTGGCTGGATGCCCATTTTCGCACGGCACGTGCATGGCGCTAGCACAGGACGCACTGGACTGTGCAGGCGCACTGGCGACACAGTGCGTATCTCCGCATAACACAGAGCCTGCACGGTCACACGCTTCTTAGCGTGAATACAGGGAGTTGGCTCTGCTCTGAACCCTGGCTCCGCCAACCCCCCTGTGTGCCCCCCAATTTTCTTTTATTGGGGCTGCTTCTCTGGCTTTCTTCGTGACCGAGTCCTTTTGAGTCGCCGTTTCTCCTCTCCTGCCTGGGCTTCCTCCTTCGCCCAGGGTCCTCTACCAGCCAATATCTCCTCCCAAGTCCAAAATGTCTTTCCCACCTGTGTCCAGGGTGTCTGCTGCTCCTGGGCACGCTACTTGGTTCGTTGGTGGTGGGATCTTCTGTCACGATCGTTGAGAGACGGGTCAGACCAAGGTGCAGCGTGGTATGCGTACATGTTTATTAATAAGAATAAACACTTGACAAAATAACGAAAACGTGAAGTCCTATGGGCTATACACACAACAAGCCAAACAGGAACACAAACAAGATCCCACAACTAAGGTAGGCAACCAGGCTACTTAAGTATGATCCCCAATCAGAGACAATGAGCGACAGCTGCCTCTGATTGGGAATCACACCCGGCCAAACATAGAAATACAAATACTAGAATACAACATAGAAATACAATAACATACAGTGGGGGAAAAAAGTATTTAGTCAGCCACCAATTGTTCAAGTTCTCCCACTTAAAAAGATGAAAGAGGCCTGTAATTTTCATCATAGGTACACGTCAACTATGACAGACAAAATGAGGAAAAACATTTCAGAAAATCACATTGTAGGATTTTAATGAATTTATTTGCAAATTATGGTGGAAAATAAGTATTTGGTCAATAACAAAAGTTTCTCAATACTTTGTTATATACCCTTTGTTGGCAATGACACAGGTCAAACATTTTCTGTAAGTCTTCACAAGGTTTTCACACACTGTTGCTGGTATTTTGGCCCATTCCTCCATGCAGATCTCCTCTAGAGCAGTGATGTTTTGGGGCTGTCGCTGGGCAACACGGACTTTCAACTCCCTCCAAAGATGTTCTATGGGGTTGAGATCTGGAGACTGGCTAGGCCACTCCAGGACCTTGAAATGCTTCTTACGAAGCCACTCCTTCGTTGCCCGGGTGGTGTGTTTGGGATCATTGTCATGCTGAAAGACCCAGCCACGTTTCATCTTCAATGCCCTTGCTGATGGAAGGAGGTTTTCACTCAAAATCTCACGATACATGGCCCCATTCATTCTTTCCTTTACACGGATCAGTCGTCCTGGTCCCTTTGCAGAAAAACAGCCCCAAAGCATGATGTTTCCACCCCCATGCTTCACAGTAGGTATGGTGTTCTTTGGATGCAACTCAGCATTCTTTGTCCTCCAAACACGACGAGTTGAGTTTTTACCAAAAAGTTCTATTTTGGTTTCATCTGACCATATGACATTCTCCCAATCCTCTTCTGGATCATCCAAATGCACTCTAGCAAACTTCAGACGGGCTTGGACATGTACTGGCTTAAGCAGGGGGACACGTCTCGCACTGCAGGATTTGAGTCCCTGGCGGCGTAGTGTGTTACTGATGGTAGGCTTTGTTACTTTGGTCCCAGCTCTCTGCAGGTCATTCACTAGGTCCCCCCGTGTGGTTCTGGGATTTTTGCTCACCGTTCTTGTGATCATTTTGACCCCACGGGGTGAGATCTTGCGTGGAGCCCCAGATCGAGGGAGATTATCAGTGGTCTTGTATGTCTTCCATTTCCTAATAATTGCTCCCACAGTTGATTTCTTCAAACCAAGCTGCTTACCTATTGCAGATTCAGTCTTCCCAGCCTGGTGCAGGTCTACAATTTTGTTTCTGGTGTCCTTTGACAGCTCTTTGGTCTTGGCCATAGTGGAGTTTGGAGTGTGACTGTTTGAGGTTGTGGACAGGTGTCTTTTATACTGATAACAAGTTCAAACAGGTGCCATTAATACAGGTAACGAGTGGAGGACAGAGGAGCCTCTTAAAGAAGAAGTTACAGGTCTGTGAGAGCCAGAAATCTTGCTTGTTTGTAGGTGACCAAATACTTATTTTCCACCATAATTTTCAAATAAATTCATTAAAAATCCTACAGTGATTTTCTGGAAAAAAAATTCTCAATTTGTCTGTCATAGTTGACGTGTACCTATGATGAAAATTACAGGCCTCTCTCATCTTTTTAAGTGGGAGAACTTGCACAATTGGTGGCTGACTAAATACTTTTTTTCCCCAATGTAGATCTCAAACTGAACTCACACCCTGACCCAACCAACAAGAGTTCTCTAGGTCAGGGCGTGACAATCACCCAGTAGTGCTATGTGCAGGGTTAGCTCCAGGTAAATATTGCAATCCTTCAGCCATTCCTGGACCTGTGACCAAAAACAACCTACAAATGGACAGTACCAAAACAAATGATCTAATGATTCTGTCTCTTCACAGCAAAATCTGCAGAGCTGGGAAGATTGTATCCCCCATATAAATAACATTATAATGGTAGCAAGAATTTTGTATAATAATTTAAATAAAAAAATTCTAAGTTTTGAATCCGGCGTCGTTTTGCGTATCAGTTTATAAACACATAATTATTAGTAATTGCTTGTAAAGGAAAGCATCCCCTCACCTCCATCCCGCGAGGCATAGCTGTCTCATCAAACAGCAACTCCACCACATGGTAACACACAATGAGCACACACACCACCTGGGAAAGAGAATAACACACACACAGCCAATCAGAACACACTCATTTTGTATGAGGAAGTGGTGTCAGGTGTATGCCCGCAGGTGATGTCAGTGGTGAGTCTGACTCTCCTCACCGTTAGAGCCAACAGCAACAGCATGGCCAATGGGTATCCTAGGTTACGCTGCCATGGTGACACTCTCTTCCATATGTCTGAAGGCAAAAAACAGAAATCCAGAATTAGTGTCTTTCTATCTGTTGGAGATTTTCCTGACCATGTGACCCGACCAGGACAAACTCCAGGCCCTAATTATAGCCAAACGTTTTCCTGGCCATGCCTCGTGGCATAGGACATGTTGTGCGTCTTTATGAAAGTCAGTAGTTCCTACCCAGAGCAATCCACCTGGCCTGAATGTTGAAGAACCGGTTCCTCAGAACCTCTGCATTCACATTAATCCAACACGAGGTCCCACCTGCAGAGAGAGAGAGGTGTAATTTTGTGATCAGCTTTTATTCAATATTCCCTTTAAAGAGACATCGCATCACTTGAATTCTGCATGGAATGGACAAATTATGGCATAAAATGGACATACGTTATATCATATATATGTGTTATGTAATGGAACTAACTAGTGAGTTTCCTGGATAAAGAGGCCTCTTCAAACTCAGCGCAACTCATTGTCTCGTCAAGGTCCTCCAGCAGCTGAGGATGGAAGACGTTCAGGGAGTCAGACCAGCACACACATACTGTACATACCAACACCATACACTGACATGAGTCTCACACAGACACACTCACCTTTGGTTTGACCAGTAGGCTTCCTGTGATGCTGAACATGCGCGATAATCCCAGAGGAGTGCATACTGTGGGAGACAGGGGATACATTTATATATTATATAATACACAGGCATCACAGAGAGAAATCTCACATATACACAATGCCAATTGGCTGGGATACTCATGGGTAAACATGTACTGTACTTACACAACAGCAGCAGGACTCCGAACAAGGAAATGCAGCAGTACAGATAAGGCAGGTAATACTCCCACAGATCTGACAGACAGAACACAGAACACATTTTAGAGTAATTTAGGAATTAAACTTACATTGCACATTTTCAGTTAACAACGCCAACAGACAAAATATGTAAAGAGGTGGAAGTTAAAAGACAAAAATCACATAAAACAGGTTATGAAAGTCACATAACAGGGGGAGAGAACAAGAGAGAGAGAGAGGGGAGAAGGAGTAGAGGGGTTGTTTTACCGTAAAGACTGGCCATATTATCATCAAGTATGGCTGATGCCACCCACACCATCCCCAGTACAAGCAGGGTCAGGAGGAAGAGGACTACTGCTGTCTCATACAGACGGGCCATCACACCCTGTGTACAGAGAGTATAGAAACATTATACCACATGTTATATATATACTGTACATGATGCTTTATCACTAACCTCTTCCCAGATATGTATGTGCTTTAGCCAACTCATCCCAATCATCATGTCATGACAACAATACTCAGGGGATTTGGCTCAAGCACATCTTCTAACCAGTCTGCTCTGTCACTGAAGCAGGTACCTTTTTGGATCCAGCGAAGCCCTCAGACTCAGTGAAGAAGTAGGCAAAGGGCAGGAGGAAGACCAGGGAGAGGTTGGAGAAGAGGAAGACTAGATTCCACAGTCCTGCATTGAGAGATGGGGACAGACAGTGTTTTAGACAGTGAGAGGCTCTCTCTCTCCCACAGGCGGCCGGTGGCACCTTAATTGGGGAGGACAGGCTCGAAGGGAAAGGGGATACCTAGTCAGTTGCACAACTGAATGCATTCAAGGGAAATCTGTCTTCCACTTTTAACCAGGTGGGTGGCTGCCTTGATCAATGTCCACATCATCGGTGCCCAGGGAGCAGTTGTTGTTGGGGGTTAACTGCCTTGCTCAAGTGCAGAACGGCAGATGTTTTCCACCTAGCCGGCTCTGGGATTCGAACCAGTAACTATTTGATTACTGGCCCAACGCTCTTAAACGCCAGGCTACCTTCCGCCCGCCATAGTAATGGCTGGAATGGAATAAATTGAATGGTATCGAGCACATCAAACACATGGTTTCCATGTATTAGTTATCATTCCATTCACGCCATTATTATGAGCTGTCCTCCCCTCTACATGCTATAGTCTTCTGATTACATTTCACTAACAGTCAGTTTTAAAAGTTGAAAGTTCTGAGGAGCTCATATCGGCAGTCTGTCTTATCATCATCACTGAGTAAATGTCATATTTGCACCCTTGTAACCTGGGGTGGACTGTAATTTTTCTCTGAACAAATTAAATAGGAATAAAAAGCAAATATGTGAAGCATGTGCACTGAGAAGATCTTTCATCAGCACAGGACCTCAAACCACGTACAAATGTCTGCATGCATTAGGTGTGTCTGGCAACGTGTGTGTTAGCGTAACTGTGTGTGTGAGTATGTTCATTTAGGGGCTTGTGTGTGTTTACCGTGTATAAGAGATCCGTTAAGCCACTGCATGTAGTAGCTCTGTGGGAAGGAGAGCAGGACCTCATTGGACAAGATGGAGAGAGGTAGGAGTAGGACAGCGCCCATAGAGACAGAGAGAGTGAACGTACAGAGACACAGCCTATAGAAAGGCAGAGAGAAAGAGGGGGAGAGAGAAAAATAGATTTTACAAAAAGAAGCCGCATTCCCATATGACACATATAAATATAAAATATTTAGGTACAGTATATTGGTTTTCTGACATTATGTGGCAGATATAGATATGATCGGTGGTAATAAAGCCTCTATTGTTCAAAGTTACTTACGCAATTTTGTTGACTGTTGCATCTTCGCTGTCATCTATAATTTAAAGCACACAACACAATTATTAGTATGGCTTTCAGAAAGAGGAATACGTGTGTGGGGGGGAGGGGGCAGACCGGCTGGGCAAGAAGCTGGGAACCTGATAAAAGACAAGACCTCCTTCCCCAAAATGTCCTAAAGGGAGACAAGCACATGTTGCTCAACTGTCACAAACACCTGCAGGCTAAAACTGTTCTTGGAGTAACAACTATAATCAACAAACATGTTTGCACATGTGTGGAAAAGTGTTTTTGTGTGTGATCAAGCAAAGCAAATTATTGTGTACATACAGTGTGTGTGTGTTTATGCTGCAGGCTACAAACCAGGAACTGGCAATACTAGGTTCTTTACAAAAGCAGGAAATGTAATTGCCCAAAAGTAAAACGCCAACCCTTATCACAGTACAGTAATACATTGTTCGAAGATCTCTGGACCCCATGTGTGTATATGTGTGTGGCCCTGATTTGTGACTGATCATGATATTGATCAGAAATGTCAGCTGTTTCCAACAACTGAACAAATCAGTGCACAATTTAGTATGCATGTGCAAGTGTTGGGAAAAGGGTTGAGGGTGGTATTGAACAATTTGCTAACCCCACTCATTACGATGAAGAATGTAGTCCTAAAAACTGAAGGATGATCATATTTAACACAGGCTTTGAAGTTCAGGCTTATTTTGTATCCCATTGTTTTGTACCAGCAAAAGAAGACAGGCTATCAAAAGTGCAGAGTCCTTTGTTGGTTAAAGTAAAAACCCATGGATCGCTCTGTTTCCCCCTCACTTCTTTCTCTCTCTCTCTGGTTTCGTACATGGTTTGAAATCACACTACACAAGAGAGATTACTAGAATGAAACTATAGCCAGAAACATCTGGTTTGTGAAAACCCCTATTCCCAACACCCATATTCATTACTGGCTCCCCACTGGTTGTCCACGGGGTGCTGCGGACCCTACATTCCTGACTGGGTGGGAGCTGGTTGTGTGTATGTGTGTGAGTTTGTGCGTGCCTGTCCAAGTGTGTGTGTGGGGTTTTTGTGCACTTTGTCTGCCCTACGGACAGTATTATAATCCCAGGGGAACATTCCTTGCAGATTAGAAATGATGCAAACAATTAATTTGCTACAACCCAACATCTATCTACAATATTAAAGCTACCGTCCCCCAATTTTTTAAAATTATAATAATAATAAAAATAACATTCCTTGCGCCTCTTACCCTGTCTAACAGGACAGAGAATCCGGGTGGCCGAGGGAGGGGGGCAACAGGGGGAGGTTGCATAACAGGCTCTGGCTGTAATTTGTACCAGAGTGTATTTTGGAAAGCGTCCCGTCCGCCATACCAATGCTTGCTGTCAATTCCTGACGCAAACATACACTCACAAGTGAGGTGATGGGGTTGCTGCAGTTAAAAACACCCTAGCTCGTGCACATGCACACACACATAAATTAACAAGTTATTATGGCCCCTTCATGGTAAACAGCAACTTGTTTATGTTGATATGCAAAACCTATATGCAGAAGTGTGAAGTAATGGCAAACATATGCTGAGATATGCATTTATATACTGTATATGTCCATCCTGGCTGTAGTACAACACCCACATGTACAGGACCAAAGGAGGATATTGGCAGACATACAGAAATACCAACAGTCTAATCATTGACTTTTACAGTTAATCAGTAGAGTGCTGAGCTGCAGAAACCCAGCAGACCTTGCAGTCTGTGACCTGACCTCCACTCCCCTGACATTTGACCTCACAGACTCACACGTACCTATGGTGAACTCAGTGTTCCTCTTGTAGTGGGTGATGACCAGATAGGAGATGATGTAGAGACCGATGAAAAGCAGGACACGGATCTGTGGAGAAAATAACACTGAGATCAATGATCAGGATCAAGCTTCCTATGATTAATTTTTTGGAATAAGTCAGCCATCCTTTATTATTCAATTATTTGTTTTATCATCTCTATTTTCATGTATAAAGACAAGAATTCACTCTACAGAGAAAATCCATACAATGCTGCTGTAGACCCTGAGTGGGTTCACGCAGGGCAAACAAACACCAGAGAAAGTCTTCAAGTTGTCAGGTCCTCTCTGTCACACTAACACAGATGGTTTACAGGCAGGCTTTTCACCCTCCAGCTGGTTCATCAAGATGTGACCCCAATGATCTCAGAGATGACTGAGTTGATAATCTCCCTCTCTGTTACCTTCACTGTGTTTATCTTTTCTATGGTTGCAGAGGGACATCATGCACGCCCTAATTAATGGAACATTATCAAAGCTGGATGTCTTCATACTCTCAAAGAGAATACAGTGAGGGAAAAAAGTATTTGATCCCCTGCTGATTTTGTACGTTTGCCCACTGACAAAGAAATTATCAGTCTATAATTTTAATGGTAGGTTTATTTGAACAGTGAGAGACAGAATAACAACAAACACGCATGTCAAAAATGTTATAAATTGATTTGCATTTTAATGAGGGAAATAAGTATTTGACCCCCTCTCAATCAGAAAGATTTCTGGCTCCCAGGTGTCTTTTATACAGGTAACGAGCTGAGATTAGGAGCACACTCTTAAAGGGAGTGCTCCTAATCTCAGTTTGTTACCTGTATAAAAGACACCTGTCCACAGAAGCAATCAATCAATCAGATTCCAAACTCTCCACCATGGCCAAGACCAAAGAGCTCTCCAAGGATGTCAGGGACAAGATTGTAGACCTACACAAGGCCGGAATGGGCTACAAGACCATCGCCAAGCAGCTTGGTGAGAAGGTGACAACAGTTGGTGCGATTATTCACAAATGGAAGAAACACAAAAGAACTGTCAATCTCCCTCGGCCTGGGGCTCCATGCAAGATCTCACCTCGTGGATTTGCAATGATCATGAGAACGGTGAGGAATCAGCCCAGAACTACACGGGAGGATCTTGTCAATGATCTCAAGGCAGCTGGGACCATAGTCACCAAGAAAACAATTGGTAACACACTACGCCGTGAAGGACTGAAATTCTGCAGCGCCCGCAAGGTCCCCCTGCTCAAGAAAGCACATATACAGGCCCGTCTGAAGTTTGCCAATGAACATCTGAATGATTCAGAGGAGAACTGGGTGAAAGTGTTGTGGTCAGATGAGACCAAAATGGAGCTCTTTGGCATCAACTCAACTCGCCGTGTTTGGAGGAGGAATGCTGCCTACGACCCCAAGAACACCATCTCCACCGTCAAACATGGAGGTGGAAACATTATGCTTTGGGGGTGTTTTTCTGCTAAGGGGACAGGACAACTTCACCGCATCAAAGGGCCGATGGACGGGGCCATGTACCGTCAAATCTTGGGTGAGAACCTCCTTCCCTCAGCCAGGGCATTGAAAATGGGTCGTGGATGGGTATTCCAGCATGACAATGACCCAAAACACACGGCCAAGGCAACAAAGGAGTGGCTCAAGAAGAAGCACATTAAGGTCATGGAGTGGCCTAGCCAGTCTCCAGACCTTAATCCCATAGAAAATCTGTGGAGGGTGCTGAAGGTTCGAGTTGCCAAACGTCAGCCTCGAAACCTTAATGACTCGGAGATGATCTGCAAAAAGGAGTGGGACAAAATCCCTCCTGAGATGTGTGCAAACCTGGTGGCCAACTACAAGAAACGTCTGACCTCTGTGATTGCCAACAAGGGTTTTGCCACCAATTACTAAGTCATGTTTTGCAGAGGGGTCAAATACTTATTTCCCTCATTAAAATGCAAATCAATTTATAACATTTTTGACATAGGTTTTTCTGGATTTTTTTGTTGTTATTCTGTCTCTCAATGTTCAAATAAACCTACCTTTAAAATTATAGACTGATCATTTCTTTGTCAGTGGGCAAACGTACAAAATCAGCAGGGGATCATATACTTTTTTCCCCTCACTGTACAACATGGATAAGACTGGACATGCACATAGCCTCAAACCTGCCTTCAGGAGGCACTGCCTAATTCATGTGAACTAATCACTGATCTGTAGCATCAAGTTGAACTCTGCCTTCTCTCCCTTTACAACAAAATGAAGTTTGCCTTTATTTTCTGAAAACTGAATTTCCCTGTTAAAATGCATTACAGATGTTGAATTACAACATTGAAGTGGATATCTAGTTAGGAAATGAAGGTTTTGGCAATCTGTGGTTTTATAACAGGGTCATCAGGGGTTGTTCTATAGTAGACAGATGATAGGGGGTCAGATGAGAGGGGGTCAGATGAGAGGGGGTCAGATGAGAGGGGGTCAGATGAGAGGGGGTCAAAATGAGAGGGGGTCAGATGATCAGGATTACCATATTAAGCAACGAGAGAGTGGAGACCGGTTGGGATTACAAATGAAACCACCAACATAACAAACAAAATCCTCACCCCCTATAAAACATTTGACATTTTAGTCATTTAGCAGACAATCTTATCCAGAGCAATTAGGGTTAAGTGCCTTGCTCAAGGGTACATCAACAGATTTCTCAGGGGATTCAACCAGCAACCTTTCGGTTCCTGGCCCAATGCTCTTAAAGGAAAATTACACCCCAAAACTATATGTTGGTATTTGTTTCATTAGTCCATTGTTGACATGGCCCCAAAATGTTTTGCTTGTCAGCAATCAAGTTTTCAAGATATGTAACTTTCAAAATACAGAAATCATCCCCATATGATGCATTTTGCTAGGCTACCTGATATTTTCTTGAATGGGAGACAATATTCTTACAATTTGGAAACTAGGAATGGTAGCAGTTCTGTGCCAGTTTCAAAGCAACATATCCCCACCCTGGTCTGTATAATGCAATCAGGTTACGGATAACAGAGAGAGAAAAATATAACTATATCATAAATATTACATAAGGAGATAGCTACCTCTGATCTCAGAGATAAGCACATTTTAATGTTCTGTTCGAGAATCTTCTGGTCTAATTAAACACTCCAATATAACATGTTAATACTTTAATAAGCAGTGATTATATTAATCACTAACTATGTTTAGCTGTTTTTATAGCCCTCTCAAATAGTAGGCTACAGCATACAGCCATTTACAGAGGACATCAAGGACAGCACAAATACAGGGAGAGAATATGACACAACATAAAGGGGATTTAATTGAGGGGATGAGAAGAACTGTGCACAGACTTCAATTGTTTTTCATCTTATAGAGGGTAACATAGAAACAGGGCTACATCCTATAACTGTAAATGTTAGCAATGTGGGAAATCCTATCTGAATTTGATAATTGCTATAGGGAGATAATCTATGTCTGTGATGATAATTACGGAACACAATTACAAATAATTTGTAGACTGCAAATTGACCGCAAGAAGCTCAAACAGATGTAATGTTTGACTACGATCACGTGTCTCTCTATAATGCGTGGGAATACTTGGGAACAGATTTCTTAAATTAAAATCACTTGGAACTGATTTCCTGGTGTTTTGACAGTATTTTATGCCCAGAAATAAAACAATATATAAATAAACTTGAGGGGGCAAAATAAAACCACCCGCATACCAAATTCGTATTAAGTGTGAATTGACATCCTTCCCTTTCCAGCTTGCCAGTCTTTTTTGGAGTCTAATAAATCTACTGGCAGAAACAATGTGTTAATGTCACTGCAATTGTACCAGAGTTGAGTTGCAGGCTTAGTTGTATACAAGTAAGAGCTTTGTTAGAGCAATGGACCACAATATAGTATGTAACTGCAGCAAGTGCCTAATAACAACTTAATTTCCCAACCTGAACGACAATGCCACAGTAACACAGTGCTCCCAAATAGCCAACTGAGACATTCAGAAGCTTTAATACATAACGTGTGACTTAAAATTCCTCTGTAAAAAAGCAAGACATCTAAAACCAGTCCTTGGCCAGTACTCAGATACAGGCTGAAGAATAGTGTACTATAGCTGGACTGAAACAGGCCTAGGCTTTCAGGCAGTTCAAAGAGAATGGAGTGCATGCTGGGCAGTGTGAGGATTCGTGGAGTTAGGGGTTTTAAATCCACTGACTATAAAGCTGTAAGGTCTATGAGAACTTTGATGGAGAGATGTGGGAGTGTGGGGGAGAGGACAAAGCCCATTTCACAATGCCTAACCAGCTAATGCCCAACACGCTCACAGCCCAAACAGCTCATGCACAGCACACTAATAACCCAAACAAAAGCTCTACTCTGTATGAGAGCAAACTGCCAACAAATGGTAGTCAGAGAAAATTGAGAACCATGGAGGGTTCACAGCATATGCAAGCAGCATATACGGAAAAATAAATGGCCTAGTTTCAGTTTTAAATTGAGCCTCCCATCCCAACAAACAGAGTCATCATGTTTAGTCACAACAAGACAGTCCTTTGTGAAGGACAAAACACCACAGGCCTTTATAGTTATTCTCCCCCTGTCCTGATTATCCTCATCTTTCACTTTCCTATCTGCTCCAGTCCGTGATAGACAGACTGACAGACAGAGCCCCACTGAGGGCACCTTCACCTGCTCTAGTCCAGTGGACTACAGTGTTCCCTGTCTCAGCTCTGACACACATTCCCTTCCCTATCCGTCTGTCTGTCCCCACCTACACTATATATACAAAAGTATGTGGACACCCCTTCAAATTAGTGGATTCTACTATTTCAGCCACACCCGTTGCTGACAGGTGTATAAAATCTAGCACACAGCCATGCAATCTCCATAGACAAACATTGGCAGTAGAATGACTTTCAACGTGGCACTGTCATAGGATTCCACCTTTCCAACAAGTCAGTTCATCAAATTTCTGTCCAGCTAGAGCTGCCCCGGTCAACTGTAAGTGCTGATATTTGAAGTAGAAATGTCTAGGAGCAACAACGGCTCAGCCGCGAAGTGGTAGGCCACACAAGCTCACAGAACGGGGCCGCTGAGTGCTGAAGCACGTAGCGTGTAAAAATCATCTGTCCTTGGTTACAACACTCACTACCGAGTTCCAAACAATCTCTGGAAGCAATGTCAGCACAATAACTGTTTGTTGGCAGCTTCATGAAATGGGTTTACATGGCCGAGCAGCCGCACACAAGCCTAAGATCACCATGCGCAATGCCAAGTGTCGGCTGGAGTGGTGTAAAGCTTGCCGCCATTGAATCACGCTTCACCATCTGGCAGTCCGACGGATGAATCTGGGTTTGGCGGATGCCAGGAGAATGCTACCTGCCCGTATGCATATTGCCAACTGTAAAGTTTGGTGGAGGTGGAATAATGGTCTGGGGCTGTTTTCCATGGTTTGGGCTAGGCCCGTTAGTTCCAGTGAAGGGAAATCTTAACTCTACAGCATACAATGCCATTCTAGACGATTCTGTGCTTCCAACTTTGTGGAAACAGTTTGGGGAAGGCACTTCTCAGTTTCAGCATGACAATGCCCCCGTGCACAAAGCGAGGTCCATACAGAAATGGTTTGTCGAGATCGGTGTGGAAGAACTTGACTAACCTGCACAGAGCCCTGACCTCAATCCCATCAAACACCTTTGAGATGAATTGGAACGCCGACTGTGAGACAGGCATAATCGCCCAACTTCAGTGCCCGACCTCACTAATGCTCTTGTGGCTGAATGGAAGCAAGTCCCCACAGCAATGTTCCAATATCTAGTGGAAAGCCTTCCCAGAAGAGTGGAGGCTGTTATAGCAGCAAAGTGGGGACCAACTCCATATTAATGCCCATGATTTTGGAATGAGATGTTCAACGAGCAGGTGTCCACATACTTTTGGTCATGTAGTGTATATGTCTGTCCCCACCTGTATATCTATCTGTCCACCTGTCATTCTGCCTTTATTTCTCTGTATGTTTTTCTTTGTCTTTCTGCCCTTTACATCAGAAATGTTTTCTCACTCTCTCAGTCTGGCGCTCTCCTCCTCTCTGCAATTGGGTTAACACTCAGGTTAGGGTACGCTGCCCGCCCACTAGACAAACCCAAGTCATATGTGCTGAAGGATTTATCCAGTATTTCCTTCCATCAGTGGGATGGGCACTGACGTCATAAAGACAGAACAAAAGATGTAGGACAAGCACAAAATAAGTGGTTACTTTATATGCCCATCATATAAAATATAAGTGGAAGAATGGGATTACTAGTAACTATGGACGGTACTTGTTAAGACTAAACAGCCTTTAAAATGGCAGATGTAGGCCATGAAAACAGAACAGCACCACCACTACCAATACTTAATTAAAAGTCTGCACACTCTGTCCAGCCTAATGCAGTAAGGACACACGTGCATGTGAATAGAAACACAATTGCCCACATAGATCTGCATACACTGAACTGCATAAAAAGAAGAAGAAACTACACTTTGAAACAAAGATAAATGACATAAAGAATGATAGTAAAAAGCTTTGGAGCACCTTATATGAAATGTTGGTTCATTGAATCCGATGGCTCATTCATCACAAAACCAACTGATATTGCCAACTACTTTAATGATTTTTTTGTTGGCAAGATTAGCAAACTTAGGCATGACATGCCAGCAACAATCCAAGTATATCTGACCAAATTATGAAACACAAGCATTGTAATTTTGAATTCCGTAAAGTGAGTGTGGAAGAGGTGAAAAAAAGTATTGTTGTCTATCAACAATGACAAGCCACCGGGGTCTGACAACTTGGATGGAAAATTACTGAGGATAATAGCAGACGATATTGCCACTCCTATTTGCCATATTTTCAATTTAAGCCTACTAGAATGTGTGTGCCCCCAGGTTTGGAAGGAAGCAAAAGTAATTCCGCTACCTAAGAATAGTAAAGCCCCCTTTCCTGGCTCAAATAGCCGACCAATTAGCCTGTTACCAACCCTTAGTAAACTATTGGAAAAAATTGTGACCAGATACAATGCTATTTTACAGTAAACAAATTGACAACAAACTTTCATCATGCTTATACAGAAGGACATTCAACAAGCACAGCACTTACACAAATGACTGATGATTGGCTGAGAGAAATTGATGATAAAAAGATTGTGGGGGCTGTTTTGTTAGACTTCAGTGCGGCTTTTGACATTATCGATCATAGTCTGCTGCTGGAAAAACGTATGTGTTATGGCTTTACTCCACCTGCTATATTGTGGATACAGGGTTACCTGTCTAACAGAACACAGGGTGTTCTATAATGGAAGCCTCTCCAACATAATCCAGGTAGAATCAGGAATTCCCCAGGGCAGCTGTCTAGGACCATTACTTTATTCAATCTTTACTAATGACATGCCACTGGCTTTGAGAAAAGCCAGAGTGTCTATGTATGCGGATGACTCAACACTATACATGTCAGCTACTACAGCGACTGAAACGACTGCAACACTTAATAAAGAGTTGCAGTTAGTTTCAGAGTGGGTGGTAAGGAATAAGTTAGTCCTAATTACTTCTAAACCTAAAAGCATTGTATTTGGGACAAATCAATCACTAAACCCTAAACCTCAACTAAATCTTGTAATAATGTGGAAATTGAGCAAGTTGAGGTGACTAAACTGCTTGGAGTAACCCTGGATTGTAAACTGTCATGGTCAAAACATATTGATACAACAGTAGCTAAGATGGGGAGAAGTATGTCCATAATAAAGCGCTGCTCTACCTTCTTAACAGACTATCAACAAGGCAGGTCCTACAGGCCCTAGTTTTGTCACACCTGGACTACTGTTCAGTCGTGTGGTCACGTGCCACAAAAAAAGGAAAATTGCAATTGGCTCAGAACAGGGCAGCACGGCTGGCCCTTGGATGTACACAGAGAGCTAATATTAATAATATGCATGTCGATCTCTCCTGGCTCAAAGTTGAGGAGAGATTGACTTCATCACTACTTGCGTTTATGAGAGGTGTTGACATGTTGGGTGCACCGAGCTGTCTGTTTGAGCTACTGGCGCACAGCTCGGTCACCCATGCATACCCCACAAGACATAATACCAGAGGTCTCTTCACAGTCCCCAAGTCCAGAACAGACTATGGGAGGTGCACAGTACTACATAGAGCCATGACTACATGGAACCCTATTCCACATCAAGTAACTGATGCAAGTAGTAAAATTTGATTTAAAAAAACAGATAAAAAAACACCTTATGGAAGAGCGGGGACTGTGAAGCAACACAAACATAGGTGCAGACACATGCATACACACGATAACATACGCACTATACACACACGTACACATGGATTTTTGTACTGTAGATATGTGGTAGTGGTGTAGTAGGGGCCTGAGGGCACACAGTGTGTTGTGAAATCTGTGAATGTATTGTAATGTTTTTAAAATTGTATGAACTGCCTTAATTTTGCTGGACCCCAGGAAGTGTAGCTGCTGCCCATAATAAATACAAATACAAAATAGAAATACACACACAAACACACACAAACAAGAAACACTAATTCACAGGAATGGGAGTTAGAGAGGTAGAGAAAGAGGAAGGGAGTCTGGAATGACTCAACGTCGCCTGTATCAGTGAGTCAGACAGGCAGAAGAGAGATGGAGATCTACTGTGCTAAGTAGGGTCATAGGTCACTTCCCTGTGATGCTGTAGTGATAGAGCCATCATGCCAAGATCACAGGTTGATGACTACATACAGTGAGGGAAAAAAGTATTTCATCCCCTGCTGATTTTGTACGTTTTCCCACTGACAAAGAAATGATCAGTCTATAATTTTAATGGTAGGTTTATTTGAAAAGTGAGAGACAGAATAACAACAACAAAATCCAGAAAAACACATGTCAAAAATGTTATAAATTGATTTGCATTTTAATGAGGGAAATAAGTATTTGACCCCCTCTCAATCAGAAAGATTTCTGGCTCCCAGGTGTATTTTATACAGGTAACGAGCTGAGATTAGGAGCACACTCTTAAAGGGAGTGCTCCTAATCTCAGCTTGTTACCTGTATAAAAGACATCTGTCCACAGAAGCAATCAATCAATCAGATTCCAAACTCTCCACCATGGCCAAGACCAAAGACCTCTCCAAGGATGTCAGGGACAAGATTGTAGACCTACACAAGGCTGGAATGGGCTACAAGACCATCGCCAAGCAGCTTGGTGAGAAGGTGACAACAGTTGGTGCGATTATTCGCAAATGGAAGAAACACAAAATAACTGTCATTCTCCCTCGGCCTGGGGCTCCATGCAAGATCTCACCTCGTGGAGTTGCAATGATCATGAGAACGTTGAGGAATCAGCCCAGAATTACACGGGAGGATCTTGTCAATGATCTCAAGGCAGCTGGGACCATAGTCACCAAGAAAACAATTGGTAACACACTACGCCGTGAAGGACTGAAATCCTGCAGCGCCCGCAAGGTCCCCCTGCTCAAGAAAGCACATATACAGGCCCGTCTGAAGTTTGCCAATGAACATCTGAATGATTCAGAGGAGAACTGGGTGAAAGTGTTGTGGTCAGATGAGACCAAAATCGAGCTATTTGGCATCAACTCAACTCGCCGTGTTTGGAGGAGGAGGAATGCTGCCTATGACCCCAAGAACACCATCCCCACCGTCAAACATGGAGGTGGAAACATTATGCTTTGGGGGTGTTTTTCTGCTAAGGGGACAGGACAACTTCACCGCATCAAAGGGACGATGGACGGGGCCATGTACCGTCAAATCTTGGGTGAGAACCTCCTTCCCTCAGCCAGGGCATTGAAAATGGGTATTCCAGCATGACAATGACCCAAAACACACGGTCAAGGCAACAAAGAAGTGCCTCAAGAAGAAGCACATTAAGGTCATGGAGTGGCCTAGCCAGTCTCCAGACCTTAATCCCATAGAAAATCTTTGGAGGGAGCTGAAGGTTTGAGTTGCCAAACGTCAGGCTCGAAACCTTAATGACTTGGAGAAGATCTGCAAAGAGGAGTGGGACAAAATCCCTCCTGAGATGTGTGCAAACCTGGTGGCCAACTACAAGAAACGTCTGACCTCTGTGATTGCCAACAAGGGTTTTGTCACCAAGTACTAAGTAATGTTTTGCAGAGGGGTCAAATACTTACTTCCCTTATTAAAATGCAAATCAATTTATAAAATTTTTGACATGCTTCTTTCTGGATTGTTTTGTTGTTATTCTGTCTCTCACTGTTCAAATAAACCTACCATTAAAATTATAGACTGATCATGTCTTTGTCAGTGGGCAAACGTACAAAATCAGCAGGGGATCAAATACTTTTTCCCCTCACTGTATAACATTGAATGCGGTTCATATACCAAACACTGGCATTCACACTACAGTTCATGCTACACCAAAACACTAGAAAAATTGCAACAGGTGTGACATCCCATAACTGTGTGTTGTACACACATACCAGCCGTGGCGAGCTGTCATTCAGGGCAGGTGACCTGTTTTGAGCCCCACATTTTTAGCTAAAAATAAATAAATAAATACAATGGTTTGCATGTTATTTGGGCATTAATACGTGTCACATATCAGTTTGCAAACAATGTAAAAAAAATAAAAAAAGAATCATGGAGTTAATAAAGCCGCATACGGTCTCTTTTTTGCTTTCTTGAGTAAGGCAGCTCCAAAATACAGGTGTTTCAGCCTAGCTCAGTGCTTTCTGTGATGGTGGGGCAGCCAGCTGAAAATACGGAGCATAGGGGTTGGTAATGTTCTCTAGTTGGCCCGGTATTGGCTCAGCGTTCTGTCACTCATGTGGACACTACGTCACTGCCAAATCTAAGGGTAGAGCTCGAAAATTCAAACCCCTTGGGTGCTGCCCTAGAGTTACATTAGAAGTGCCCATCCAAGAAGGCTCAAGGTAATTGGCCACAGATACAATGACGCCAAATCACGTTATATCTACAGTAGCTTTGATTGGACTGATCATGTCAACATCATACTTTCAAAATCTTAGCAAGCGGTCATCATCATGAATCAAGTCGACAATGTACTGGCAAATCCTTTTTAATCCTTGTCATATGAAGAGAAATAATGAAGAGAAATGATAGATAAAACGTATCGGCTCATCGGCCATTGGACATAAACATTAAACAAGTTGGAAATCGCAAATTCAAAAATGAGTGGTTTGGAAGGAATCAGTGGCTAACTGCAAGCATTGCAAAGCAATCACTAGCCTGCTATTCAGTGGAGTGGCTGTGTGGTCCCAAGTCTGGGTTTAAGGGTCTCTTTCCCAAGTTTACAATGATAAACATTCAACATTTTTCAGAGTTCCCAGTTGTCTTGAAAGCACCATAAATCCAGAGAATGCCAGACTTTGATGACACATTTTTATGACAAATTTTTATGACAAAATTTGCCCACAAGAAGGACCGCCGCGCCACCTTCCTATTCAAGTGAGCACAGCACAACAAGGTGAGTCCAAAAATGTATTGCATGTTGCTGCATAAATGATTTAATATGCCAGGGAAATATGTATACTGTAGCTAAGAAAGTAATACTAAGTGTATGTTGTGTAGTAAGCTGTTAGTATCCCATGTGCCTCACCCTAATAATTTGATCTATTTTCCCCTCTTAATTTCGCCTACTGTTCTGACTTGGTGGTGCACATGTAGCCAATAACCTGTTTTAGAGAAATGTAATCATCGAATATTGTCAGAGCTTTCATTTTCTGCTTATATGCCCCCTTTATTTATCCTACGGTTCTGAATTCCCATGTTCTGAATTCTGTCACTGTACATTTCAAAAGTGCTGAACAAATAGTTATATTGACTACGTCCGTCCTAGCTCGCTCATTAATGTCTTAATCGAAATTACGGATTGCCTCTCATTCGCTTGTAGTCCCCTTATGCCATAGTTTGTACATCTCAATTGTCAGTAGAAACCACATTTGTTTAAGCAAGTCAGCCATATCAGCTATGTTTTTTTTAAAGGCAGTAAATGAGTCTAAATGAACTGTACTTTACTTTACTATTTATATTTTTGACAACTTTTACTTTTACTTCACTACATTCCTAAAGAAAATAATGTACTTTTTACTCCATACATTTTCCCTGACAACCAAAAGTACTCATTACATTTTGAATGCTTAGCAGGACAGTAAAATGGTCAAATTCACACACTTATCAAGAGAACACGAGGTCATCCCTACCACCTTTGGCCTGGCGGACTCACTAAACACAAATGCATCTCTTGTAAATAATGTGTTGGAGTGTGTCCCTGGCTATCCGTACATTTTTAAAACAAGAAAATGGTGCAGTCTGCTTTACTTAATATACTTAATTTACTTGTACTTTTGATACTTAAGTATATTTAAAACCAAATACTTTTAGACTTTTACTCAAGTAGTACAGTGGGGAAAAAAAGTATTTAGTCAGCCACCAATTGTGCAAGTTCTCCCACTTAAAAAGATGAGAGAGGCCTGTAATTTTCATCATAGGTACACGTCAACTATGACAGACAAAATGAGAAAAAATTTTCCAGAAAATCACATTGTAGGATTTTTTATGAATTTATTGGCATATGATGGTGGAAAATAAGTATTTGGTCAATAACAAAAGTTTCTCAATACTTTGTTATATACCCTTTGTTGGCAATGACACAGGTCAAACGTTTTCTGTAAGTCTTCACAAGGTTTTCACACACTGTTGCTGGTATTTTGGCCCATTCCTCCATGCAGATCTCCTCTAGAGCAGTGATGTTTTGGGGCTGTTGCTGGGCAACACAGACTTTCATCTCCCTCCAAAGATTTTCTATGGGGTTGAGATCTGGAGACTGGCTAGGCCACTCCAGGACCTTGAAATGCTTCTTACGAAGCCACTCCTTCGTTGCCCGGGCGGTGTGTTTGGGATCATTGTCATGCTGAAAGACCCAGCCACGTTTCATCTTCAATGCCCTTGCTGATGGAAGGAGGGTTTCACTCAAAATCTCACGATACATGGCCCCATTCATTCTTTCCTTTACACGGATCAGTCGTCCTGGTCCCTTTGCAGAAAAACAGCCCCAAAGCATGATGTTTCCAACCCCATGCTTCACAGTAGGTATGGTGTTCTTTGGATGCAACTCAGCATTCTTTGTCCTCCAAACATGACGAGTTGAGTTTTTACCAAAAAGTTATATTTTGGTTTCATCTGACCATATGACATTCTCCCAATCCTCTTCTGGATCATCCAAATGCACTTCAGATGGGCCTGGACATGTACTGGCTTAAGCAGGGGGACACGTCTCGCACTGCAGGATTTGAGTCCCTGGCGGCGTAGTGTGTTACTGATGGTAGGCTTTGTTACTTTGATCCCAGCTCTCTGCAGGTCATTCACTAGGTCCCCCCGTGTGGTTCTGGGATTTTTGCTCACCGTTCTTGTGATCATTTTGACCCCACAGGGTGAGATCTTGCGTGGAGCCCCAGATCGAGGGAGATTATCAGTGGTCTTGTATGTCTTCCATTTCCTAATAATTGCTCCCACAGTTGATTTCTTCAAACCAAGCTGCTTACCTATTGCAGATTCAGTCTTCCCAGCCTGGTGCAGGTCTACAATTTAGTTTTTGGTGTCCTTTGACAGCTCTTTGGTCTTGGCCATTGTGGAGTTTGGAGTGTGACTGTTTGAGGTTGTGGACAGGTGACTTTTATACTGATAACAAGTTCAAACAGATGCCATTAATACAGGTAACGAGTGGAGGACAGATGAGCCTCTTAAAGAAGAAGTTACAGGTCTGTGAGAGCCAGAAATCTTGCTTGTTTGTAGGTGACCAAATACTTATTTTCCACCATAATTTGCAAATAAATTCATTAAAAATCCTACAATGGGATTTTCTGGATTTTTTTCCCTCAATTTGTCTGTCATAGTTGACGTGTACCTATGATGAAAATTACAGGCCTCTCTCATCTTTTTAAGTGGGAGAACTTGCACAATTGGTGGCTGACTAAATACTTTTTTTCCCCACTGTATTTTACTGGCTGACTTTCACTTTTACTTGAGTAACTTTATTTTCTACCCTTCCTATTAAGGTATCTATACTTTTACTAAAGTATGACAATTGGGTACATTTTCCACCACTGGCTGTTGGGACTATATAGGCCCTAACAGTTTGTGGGCACCGTTTGTCACCGTTATAGTGCAATTATTGTATTGTTTAGTGTTGTGTTGTGTTGTGTTGTGTAGTGGCTTTGCAGGCATGTATCCCCCCCAAAAGTATTTTGTTTGCCCCACCAAGATTTACATGCTAAAATCGCCGCTGTATACCAGTGCAACAATATGCATTGTGACTCCGTTTTTAGAACTGGAAGTTAGGCTCAATTGAAGTAAGGCTACATTGTACATTTCCATGATGCTGAGATGTTGATGAATGTTTCAACACCTGGATAGACTAGTCCACAGAGAATGGGGTTATAAATGACATATAATATGATTATTACTATTAAGAATTTAGCACACGAATGCAATATCTATCCCGAATTACTTGGTGAACTAATTGTCTCATGTTTTTTATTACATTGTAGACACTTGTATGATAAAACTGCATGCTGCTACAAAATCCACAGTAGAGGTCTATTAGAATAGCAGCAACATGACCTCACGTTTTCCCACAAATAGGATTAGGCATTTTTCTTTACCAACAAACACACAAGGGATTAATGAAATTGAAGGTACAGTAGTAAAGGAACGGCAAAAGTGCTATTGACAAATATGATACACATACACAAATTCTAACAGCAAGTTCCCTGGAATAGCCTGCAGCCACACATATTCTGCCTTATAAATGTTATGAGATATAAACAATTGCATTTGCAGCTGGCTGGTGATGACAGCAGTGCAGTGAGAGCGCTCCAATCAACAGGCAAGCTCTTTCAGTTTCACCGCAATCAACGGGTAGCCCTACAGCGTGTACTTACTATTGTCTCTCTGACTCGGTCGTGGAAAAGCTGTTCCCGGACCGACACGTCTTCTGGAGCTTCCATGCTCCGACAACCATATCGCGGATTGAGCGCCCTTTACGTGGCTCAAATTGATATTTTTCTGGTCCTTGTTGCTGCTTCGTCAGATCAGCACAGCAGCGTAGCTTGTCCTCGTTCCTAGGCTGGCTGATGCTATGCCAATGAGTCGTGTCGCTGCCGCTCAGCTCTTGTGGGAACAGTGCCGCTGCGCAACGCGGCGAGGGGGTGCAGTTGACGCGGTGCGGTGTCAAAATATTTGCAGGTACAGAAGACATTTCATTTTTGCTTCAACATTGTTTCTTCGATGAAGATTCTTCAAGCAACATTCACATGATCAGCAACCTGATCATGTTCCTAATATCTTACCAGATATTTTCACATTTTATGTAGTCTCTTCATTGAAATTCTGTATGGTGACACATGAATAATAAGCCTACAGAGCTGCCAACTCTCACGCATTCACCGTGAGACACACGCAGTTGACTCTGATAACACGCGCTCACGCTACACCTCTTATATCTCATGTTTTTTTTTGTGTGTGGTTTATTTTTCATGAATTTTGTGCAGGTATGAATATGAAGGCAGCATCTCGCCAAACGCGATCATCATTACTTCTGGGCGTCTTCTGCAAGCCCAAAGAATGCCCCTCCTACTCGTTGCTACAATACGGTGAAAGTTGATACAGGCTGCGCTCGTGCATTGTCATCACACTTCACTGACATAATTTAGTGGTCAGCAGCTCTCGGACTCTCGTCATCTTGGAACTCAAGACAAGTCCCCAGAGACTGTTCAATTCAAAGAAAGAACAAAGTAATGAAGGTAAGCAATGCAGTCCGCGTTATCATTTACATCAATTACAATTTGAGGCAGGCTGTTGGGTTTATGTTGTCTAGCTAGAAAGCTAGCTAACATGTTATTTTATTTATGGAAAACTTCGCTACAGTAGGTAGGTTAGTTTAGCTACATGCTAGCTAGTGTGGGGATCTATTTTCTTATAACTAGATGTGATGCCTAGCTTAGAAAGAATACATTATTGATTAAACATAATAGGTTTGTGCTGTACTGATATAGATTGTTTAACATAACAAGCTGTGATTAATGTGAGGAACCGTTAGGGGGTAGGCTGAGACAGGCTTGTGTCTCACACACACAGCCTCTTTGTTAAACCGCTCAAGGACAAAGTACTGCAACATGAAGAAGAAAACTATGTCTGAGGTTGCTGACTCGAGACAAGTTGTAAAGATAACAACTAATGCCCGGCAACAGTGAACCGCCAAGCAGCTGGGACCAGCCTGTGCGCCATATATAGGTTGGGTAAGTTTAAACCACACCCAGCCTCTACTCTGACAGGCCCAGCAGGGAGCAGGAACTCTCTCTGTCAGAGTATTTAAAGAAGAACTTATAACAAAAGCTCAGTTCTCTGTCTGCCCTGCGTGGTTTTTCAGTGGGCCCGTATATACGAACATCATATTTACCATTCAAGTGTTAGCATTAATTAAAATACTAGTCTATTTTAGAAGACGTGTATTGACCTCCTATACCAGATTTGAATTGACGCAACTTAACAATTGGTGACCGCCGACGTGATCTGGTAGAGGGACTTTGCTGGGTATTGTCCGGCCGATTGGACATTGCTGTCGTCGGACAGTGTGTTTCACAAAGGGTCCGGACAACTAAAAACAGGTAAGCAGACACCTATTGTTATATAACTAAAGTTCTGCACATTGGCTTTATCCAAACTAATTTTGTGAAACACCTGTTTGATGTAAGTGAACTAAATTATGAATTATTACACAAATTATTATGAGTAGATACAGTGGGGGGAAAAGTATTTAGTCAGCTTCCAATTGTGCAAGTTCTCCCACTTAAAAAGATGAGAGAGGCCTGTAATTTTCATCATAGGTACACGTCAACTATGACAGACGAATTGAGAATTATTTTTCCAGAAAATCACATTGTAGGATTTTTAATGAATTTATTTGCAAATTATGGTGGAAAATAAGTATTTGGTCACCTACAAACAAGCAAGATTTCTGGCTCTCTGTAACTTCTTCTTTAAGAGGCTCCTCTGTCCTCCACTCGTTACCTGTATTAATGGCACCTGTTTGAACTTGTTATCAGTATAAAAGACACCTGTCCACAACCTCAAACAGTCACACTCCAAACTCCACTATGGCCAAGACCAAAGAGCTGTCAAAGGACACCAGAAACAAAATTGTAGACCTGCACCAGGCTGGGAAGACTGAATCTGCAATAGGTAAGCAGCTTGGTTTGAAGAAATCAACTGTGGGAGCAATTATTAGGAAATGGAAGACATACAAGACCACTGATAATCTCCCTCGATCTGGGGCTCCACGCAATATCTCACCCCGTGGGGTCAAAATGATCACAAGAACGGTGAGCAAAAATCCCAGAACCACACGGGGGGACCTAGTGAATGACCTGCAGAGAGCTGGGACCAAAGTAACAAAGCCTACCATCAGTAACACACTACGCCGCCAGGGACTCAAATCCTGCAGTTCCAGACGTGTCCCCCTGCTTAAGCCAGGCCTGTCTGAAGTTTGCTAGAGTGCATTTGGATGATCCAGAAGAGGATTGGGAGAATGTCATATGGTCAGATGAAACCAAAATAGAACTTTTTGGTAAAAACTCAACTCGTCGTGAATGGAGGACAAAGAATGCTGAGTTGCATCCAAAGAACACCATACCTACTGTGAAGCATGGGGGTGGAAACATCATGCTTTGGGGCTGTTTTTCTGCAAAGGGCCAGGACGACTGATCCGTGTAAAGGAAAGAATGAATGGGGCCATGTATCGTGAGATTTTGAGTGAAAACCTCCTTCCATCAGCAAGGGCATTGAAGATGAAACGTGGCTGGGTCTTTCAGCATGACAATGATCCCAAACACACCGCCCGGGCAACGAAGGAGTGGCTTCGTAAGAAGCATTTCAAGGTCCTGGAGTGGCCTAGCCAGTCTCCAGATCTCAACCCCATAGAAAATCTTTGGAGGGAGTTGAAAGTCCGTGTTGCCCAGCGACAGCCCCAAAACATCACTGCTCTAGAGGAGATCTGCATGGAGGAATGGGCCAAAATACCAGCAACAGTGTGTGAAAACCTTGTGAAGACTTACAGAAAACGTTTGACCTGTGTCATTGCCAACAAACGGTATATAACAAAGTATTGAGAAACTTTTGTTATTGACCAAATACTTATTTTCCACCATAATTTGCAAATAAATTCATTAAAAATCCTACAATGTGATTTTCTGGATTTTTTTCTTCTCAATTTGTCTGTTATAGTTGACGTGTACCTATGATGAAAATTACAGGCCTCTCTCATCTTTTTAAGTGGGAGAACTTGCACAATTGGTGGCTGACTAAATACTTTTTTCCCCCACTGTACATACTTTGCGTCCTTCTCCACCCCGGCGATCAAGTTTAGCTTAAACCAAATACATGCCGTAATATTCAAACAACTTTTTATAAACACACCGCTCCATAATCCTGAGGACATTGCCCCGGACAGAGGTTACCCCAATTGAGGACAGCTTGGCAGTCTTAAAAAAAGAAAGCTAAAATTAAAGAATGTGTAAAGACCCATTAAATATTATATTGTTCAAAAGTTATGTGTCTGTCATATCATTCCTGCAACAAACATTGTTAGAAATGGGTGTAATTGGCTAATCTCTTCCTCTTCTCTGCAACTGCGCACATGTGAGTTTGAGTGAGCGACAGGGAGAATGAGCAAGAGAGAAATGGGAGAAACTTTACATGACTCACCAAGGGAGGTGTCTGTTGAATCAGGACACAAGGGTTTTGCACCTGGAAAAAAAGGCAAGTTAAAATAAAATAAAAATGCTTTACAAACGTATATTATTAGAAGCGGTGCTATTTCAGTTGGATCTACTTACACTACACACTTAGAAAAAAGGGTTCCAAAAGGGTTCTTCGACTGTCCCCTTAGGATAACTATTTTGGATTCCATGTAGAACCCTCTGTGGAAAGGGCCAAGCACAGCTGTAGAGGCCAGGTCATTGACATGTTTCAGGAACTGTAAAGACAGAGGCAAATCATGATTAACCATTACCTAAGGTCTTCACTAAGTTAGACTTAGCCTAGCAAGTACATTGACTATGTTTCCCTTCAGCAATCTGGCAGTCAGGCAGACAGACAGAGAGAGATAGACAGCAAAACAGGCTATTCACATTTCTTAGTCAGCAGGCTCGATAACTTCTGTACTCCATCCGTTTGTTCCTCCTCCATCCTTCCATGCAAGATAGAAGATTCCTGTAAGAAAAGAGAATCAAGAATTGAAAAGGCAGTTGAGAGACATAATGTTAGAATGAGTGTTGAGGGGGAGCAGGGATAGGCAAAATGTATCGTATTGTCAAATACAAAATACACAAAAATACAAGGATCTCTGATGAATCAAGAAAATCTTCACATACACACACAATCAATGTTTCCTATATGTGTATTTATGTAACATATCTCTCTCTCTCTCTCTCTCTCTCTCTCTCTCTCTCTCTCTCTCTCTCTCTCTCTCTCTATCATCTCTCTCTCTCTCTTCTCTCTCTCTCTCTCTCTCTCTCTCTCTCTCTCTCTCTCTCTCTCTCTCTCTCTCTCTCTCTCTTGAATCGTACTACACCGTCTCCGACGCACGACGGATGTGGCAGGGCTTGCAAACTATTACAGACTACAAAGGGAAGCACAGCCGCGTGCTGCCCAGTGACACAAGCCTACCAGACGAGCTAAATCACTTAGCCGATGTGAGTAAGACTTTTAAGCATGTCAACATTCACAAGGCCAGACGGATTACCAGGACATGTACTCCAAGCATGCACTGACCAACTGGCAAGTGTCTTCACTGACATTTTCAACATGTCCCTGACTGAGTCTGTAATACCAACATGTTTCAAGCAGACCACCTGTGCCCAAGAACACTAAGATAACCTGCCTAAATGACTACCGACCTGTAGCACTCACGTCTGTAGCCATGAAGTGCTTTGAAAGGCTGGTCATGGCT